AAGAACTTGGAAGCCCTAAAAATGCCCGGAAAACTCACCCCCAAACAAGCCCAGTGGTCACAAAACTTCCACCGGTTCACATTCAAAATTAAACGCTTACCAGGGGGGAGGAATTTCCTGGCAGACGCCCTATCCCGCATGCCCCAGTACAATAGCTCCCAGCCAACCATCTCCTAGCTGCTAATGCCAGAAGTGCAGCTGGCAGCACAAGGAACCACAAGAGCTCAGGCAAAGCTAAAACAGCCAATTGCCAGCCAAGCAGGATCGAATTCAGGAAGGCTCTAGAAACCGATGAATGGTTCCAGAGCCACAAAAACTTATGCACTATCACTGACGGATTGCCATGGGTGGGGGAGAAGCTGTACATGCCAAAAACCCAGAGGATTACATTTATGCAACTCTGCCATGACACGAAACCAGCGAGTCACTTTGAGTTCGTGAAAATGCTGCATCTAGTAAAAAGACATTTCTGGTGGCCATCTATGAAAAAGGACATTGAGAGCTATGTGGCCAGCTGTTCAATATGCGCAGCTGCTAAGAGACTGCAAGGGAAAGCCCCCGGACTGTTACAGCCAGTGGTAAACCCCTCAGCCCTCTGGAAGGAGATCTCCACGGACTTCATAGTGGAACTACCAGAAAGTAGTAGAAACACAGCGATCTGGGTGGTCACAGACCTATTCTCAAAACAAGTACACATCATCCCTTATCCAAAAATCCCCACTGCTAAAGCCTTAGCAAAACTGTTTGTCCAGCACATATATAGACTGCATGGGGCACTCCAGTGCGTAATATCGGACAAGGGGGTGCAATTCACATCAGACTTTTGGAAAGAGTTCTTATCCATTCTAGGGACCACCCAGGGGCTGTCATCTAGTCATCATCCTCAGACACATGGGGGGATAGAACGTTTAAACTCAGTACTTGAACAATATTTAAAATGCTTTATTAATTTTCAACAGATGAACTAGACCGACCTGCTCCGCTTCGCAGAAGTGGCATACAACAACAAGGTCCATTCCAGCATGAGCTACACCCCATTTCAAGTAGCTACGGGCCAAAGCTTCAACCCTATGCCGGAAATAAGCGCCACCGAGCCAGTCATTCCCTCCTTGAAGGAGTGGATCGCACAATTAAAAAATACCTGGCCAGTAGTTAGAAAAGCATTAGCTGAAGCTAGACAGGCCTATAAAGCACAAGCAGATAAGAAAAGAGTCGAACCAAAACCATTCATCATAGGGAAAATGGTTTACTTATCCACAAAATACCTAAAATCCCTGCAACCATCCAAGAAACTAGGGCCGAAATATGTGGGACCATTCCCCATCAAAAGGATCATAAACCCAGTAACAGAAGAGCTAGAATTACCAAAACCCTCAGGCAGATTCACCCCATCTTTCACCTGCTAAAACGAGAGCGGTGATCACCGTTATGACCAGTCATCGCCCTACCGCCCTCTCCTATTATGGTTGAGGGGGAGCAGCATTTTAAAATAAAAGAAATCCTTGACTCCCAAAAATACCACGGAGAAACTCAATAGCTAGTAGAGTGGAAGCACCTTCCCTCTTCCCAGAACGAATGGGTGCACAAACTCCATGTTAGAGCCCCCAAACTATTAAGAAAGTTTCACACAGACTACCCGAACAAACCAGACTAACCTCTCACTATTTGTTTTGTCTCTCAACAGATTGACCTCTCATATTTTTAAGGGGGGCAGGATGTCAGAACCCATATCTATTTGATTTCATACTTCCCTTGCTCTCTTCCTCTCTCCCATATTCCATTCTCTTCTCTCTCTGGGTTCTGCCATACTCCTAGAGGAGAGGGTGGAAGGATCGTGGGTTTGTTGCCGTATCTTCCTTTATTGCTACAATGTAACACTTTGCTTTCCTGCACTATTTATCTCTGTACTCTTCTCCCTAAACTGTCAGCTAGCAAAGGGGGAGAAAGAAAGAATTACAACCTCAGGAACCTGGCTTATCTTTCCATTCTCAAAAGAAGGTGTGAAGAGTCATCTAAACATTGCCGTCACGACCAGAGCCAGCCTGATGTTATCTCCCCTATCCCACGATGGACTTAAAGCCTGGGGATTGGCTGGTTTGAACTGTCTGGATGAACTATGGGGTGGGGTTTGTTTGGGGTCGCTTTAATGTATCCATCTGTATTCTGTTTAGTATGCCTACTATCAGCCTCTCCTATGAGCTTGCTTCCATGAGTTCTGCTTTCTTGGGATGAGGTACTGAAGTGGGTCCTGACAGCAAGTTTACTCCTGTAACTGGAGGTTTAAACTGAAGAAAACACCTAAAGCTCCGTCCACTCTTTGCTACATTGTCCAGGCTCTTACCGTAAGAAAGCTGTAGTATCAGAAGGTTTGCTAGCACTCTGATCAGAACCATAGCTTCATCTCTGCATGAAAAGCTGTTTGCCTGGAATTTAGAAATGGGGAACAATTTTGGCAAGAATGCACAGTTCAAAATATTTGATTAATCACTTTGTTCTCTTCCACTCCGAGGCAGAAGGACAGATGTGGACAAAATGCCAGTTTCTCACCTGTAAGATCCCAGTCCCGAACTTAAACTTGAGATGCCATATCAATCTAATCAGATAACCCAAGCGGAGACTTCTTGGTCAAGCCTTGCTTCTATCCTCAGAGGGGATTTCCCAGTGGTACCAACCCTTCCGAAGAGCGCAGGAAGGCCCAGTGCTCAGGGCACCTCCAACCTGATGCGGAGACGCGCCCGTCCGGGTCTTTGAGTCGCAGGCTGCATCCTCCTGGCCATTGGAACCTCAGTTTTGGGGATGGGTAGAGATAGAAAAGTCTGGGGGGGACCCCTTTTTGTTTGGCACCATACAAATGAAATACATGCATGGTGCTGTAAGGTCCCAGTCCCTTACTTAAACTTGAGATACCATATTAAACTAATTAGATAACCCAAGAGGAGACTTCTTGATTAAGCAGCACTTTATTTGATCAAATTAAGCAGCTGGGTGGCCAACAATCTAGAATGCTGGCAGAGTCACATCCAGAAGTGACACGCATTAGAAAGTTGGTAGCATTGCTTTATAAACTTTGTTAGCCAATGAAAATCAGACAACAGAGCCAAAAAGCAAGAAACAAACAGACTAAACAATTTCCCTTTGTTCCAGAACCCTTCACATCCTTATGTAACTTGGCTCTATATCATGCAGCCTGAACAGTGGTGGGATTCAAATATGTGAACAACCGGTTCTCTATGCGGATGCTTCTTCCAGAAGTCCATTCTGGGCCTGGGCAACAAAAAAATAGCTACCGGTTCTGCCAAAGTGGTGCGAACCGGCTAAATCCCACCACTGAGCCTGAAGCACAAAAGAACACTGATAACAAGATTGGATATGTATCTCAATAAAAACAGCCCCTCCCGGAAAGCAAAAAACCCTAATATGTGATTAATGCAGTCTATGTGAGATGTTGGTGCAGAATTCGCTTCAGCTTTAGGTCGGAAGGAAAACAGATTTTTTTCTTTTAACTGGAAATATTTTTAAACCTAAAAAAGCCGGGGCAGTTAGACCATATAAAGGCAACCACACACTCAGTTCTCCCATTTGTTTGGGTGGTGTGGAAAAATGACTTTTTCTGTATTATGAATAGTGGGGGCAACTGATACTAACTTAAGTCCAACAATTTTCAGGGTTGTGAGACTGGTTTGAAAACTCTCCACATTTTCCATTCTAGGATCTAGTTTTGGAAAAGGAGATCAGAAAAGCTGGCTATGCACAGCACTGGATGGAAGCTCTCCACAGCTGTAAGTTTTTTGAATTTGACTTGTTTAAAATTAGCTTTAACGTTTAAATTTCATCCTCTCCAGAGGCCTGGACTTCAACTCTTAGAATTTCCCAGTCAGGATGGTAATTGTAGATAATTAGGGAAATTGAAGTCTGTACAACTGGGGGGACGGTATCCAGCTATAGTACCAGACTGGCTCAGGAATTCTGTGAGTTGAAGTCCACAAGTCATAAGGGGAGCCATAGTTCCCCACCTTCGCTCTAGGAGCAGCTGCGCTTTTGGGGTTGGGACCCAACCGGAAAACAAGGGGTGCAGCATTTTGAAATAAAAGAAATCCTTGATTCCCAAAAATACCACAGAACGACTCAATAGCTAGTAGCATGGAAGCACCTTCCCTCTTCCCAGAACGAATAGGTGCACAAACACCACATTAGAGCCCCAAAACTATTAAGAAAGTTTCACAAGGACTACCCGAACAAACCAGACTAACCTCTCACTATTTGTTTTGTCTCTCAACAGATTGACCTCTCATATTTTTAAGGGGGGCAGGATGTCAGAACCCATATCTATCGGATTTCATACTTCCCTTGCTCTCTTCCTCTCTCCCAAATTCCATTCTCTTCTCTCCCTGGGTTCTGCCATACTCCTAGAGGAGAGGGGGGAAGGATCGTGGGTTTGTTGCCGTAGCTTCCTTTATCGCTACAATGTAACACTTTGCTTTCCTGCATTCTTTCTCTATTGCTACAATGTAACACTTCGCTTTCCTGCACTATTTCTCTCTGTACTCTGCTCCCTAAACTATCAGCTAGCAAAGGGGGAGAAAGAAAGAATTACAACTTACGGAACCTGGCTTATCTCTCCATTCTCAAAAGAAGGTGTGAAGAGTTGTCTAAACATCACCGTCATGACCAGAGCCGGCCAGATGTTATCTCCCCTTTCCCACAATGGACTTAAAGCCTGGGGATTGGCCGTGGGGTGGGGTTTGGGGTGGGGTTTGTTTGGGAACACTTTAACCTATCGATCTGTATGGGAGCCCCTCAGATCCTGTCTAGTTTACCTATTATCAGCTTCTTCTAATAAAAGTTCCTTTTGGAAGAGCTTGTTTCCATGAGTTCTGCTTTCTTGGGATGAGGTATTGAAGTGGGTCCTGACAGCAAGTTTACTCCTGTAACTGGAGGTTTAAACCGAAAAAGATACCTAAAGCTCCGTCCACCCTTTGCTCCATTGTCCAGGCTCTTACCGTAAGAAAGCTGTAGTATCAGAAGGTTTGCTAGCACTCTGATCAGCACCATAGCTTCAACTCTGCATGGAAAGCTGTTTGCCTGGAATTTAGAAATGGGGAACAATTTTGGCAAGAATTCACAGTTCAAAATGTTTGATTAATCACTTTGTTCTGTTCCACTCTGAGGACGAAGTACAGATGTGGAAAAAAATCCAGTTTCTCACCTGTAAGATCCCAGTCCCAAACTTAAAATTGAGATACTGTATCAATCTAATCAGATAAACCAAGCGGAGATTTCTTGATCAAGCCTTGATTCTGTCCTCAGAGGGGATTTCCCAGCGGTGCTGACCCTTGGGAAGAGAACGGGAAGGCCCAGTGCTCTGGGCGTCTCCACCCTGAAGGGGAGACGGGCCCATCTGGGTCTTTGGGTCGCAGGCTGCATCCTCCTGGCCATTGGCACATCAGTTTTGGGGATGAATAGGGATTGGAGAAAAAAATCTGGAAAAATGAGGAAAAAACAGTTCTCCACCCTCTTTTTTTCCAAAACGATTTGGAAAAAAATGGGGGAAAAACCTCTTTCCCTCCCCCCCCCATTTTTCCAGTTTTTTTCCAGGCCTTCCCATCTCCAGGGGTGAGGAAGGTTGGAGTCCAGGGGATGCGGTGGCAGCAAGAGGAGGAGGCCGGGATCCTTCGGGAGGTTTGGACCCCCAACAGCCACAGTTCTGGTTCTGTTGATGGGGAACCTGCCTTGCCTTCCCCGGGCATCCGTCGAGGAAGGGGCTCATGCAGACAGTCCTACTTTCCTTGGTCGCCTCCCCCTTTTATTCTTGGCACCCACCACCCTCAACTACTACAAAAAAGGGGGCTCAGGGAGGGAGGGAGGGAGTGGAGGAGGTCGGTTTGGGTGAAATCTGCCCTCTCAATTTGTCCTGGGCAGAAGAGGTTCTATTCCATTCAGACCAAGCTCTTTGTGGCCTCACCCAAAGACAGTCTTCTCTGTAGTACAGGTAGTACTACAGACTTAATGACCACAGTTGAGCCAAAAAATTATGTTGCACATGTTGGAAATTTGTTAATTTTGCCCCATGTTATGACTTTTCTTGCCATATTTGTTAGCGGATCACTGCAGTTCTTAAATTAGTAAAATTAGTTAAGTTGGTAACACCGTTGTTAAGCGAATCTGGCTTCCCACATTGACTTGGCTTATCAGAAGGTCACGAAAGATGATCATGTGACCCTGGGACACTGCAGCCGGCATAAATAGGAACCAGTTGTCAAGCATTGGCACGTAAATTGTGTGACTGTGGAGAAGCTGTATCGGTCATAAGTGTGAAAAATGGTCAGTCCTATCATAACTTTGAACATTCACTAAATGAACTGTTGTAAGTCGAGGGCTTCCGGTAGCAAAAGAAAACTGTTTGAAAAGAATGTGCACCCAAGCAGACTTAATACAAAAGGTAACCTTGCAGCCAAATGACACTATTCCACAAGTTTAATAAACCATCATCATCATTAGTTGGGGGATTGGGTGACAGTATTGGCCCAGATAGCTTGTCTTGTCTTTTCATCATAGATTAGCACTTACATGAAGATTAGGAACATTGGCAAGAAGGTTGGGGTACATCAGATTCGGGCATCAAGGTCCTTCCCCCCTCCCTTGCTTTTGCCTTGATTTTGCTAAAACAGTTTGAATTTCTAATAGCCGAATTATCACAAAAGCTGGGGTAGCCTTGAAATGGAATGGGGCAGTAACTATGGTTTGGTGAATGGGAAGCCACTGTTTTATCATGTCAGTCACAAGTGAAGCCCTCATATAATTGTTTTCTTTGTGAGAACACAACATCTGTTTTGTATCTGAGCATAGGCTGCTGTTGAACCCAGCTAATGTGTATAAATCTTCAGCACTTAATACTACAGTAAGGGGCACACTGTATCACATGTGGCATGTCGTTTTTGTTATTGTTTTCCTGTCTGCAGGCAAGATACCTTTGTACCTTTCTTTCCCCCCCCCCCCCCAGGTAATCGTTTTAGGAAATGTGCTCTTCTGTTATGTAAAGTTTTAAATTTCAGGTTTTATATTTGTTTCATTTCCATATAATTTTATCTTCCATAAAAAGATTAAGTCACCACTTCTGTTAGTATAAGGGTGGGGCGGAAATCCCCCTCCTTCCCTTTCGGAGGTATTTTGCTTCTTGAGGATCTTTTCCAGGATTTTAAATATAGAATAGTAAAGAGAAGATCAAATTCCTCACTCAGTTTCAAGCACGCAAATCCGGAAGTCCAGGTCAGAACATTTTCAGCTTTTAAGCCCAGTTATTCAAATGCTGCCATTTAACAGGCCATTCCTTTGCAAAACCAAAGGATCAGAAAACAAGTGACGATTTATACAATTTTATTGCTGTGGATACCTGAGAATGTACATGAAAACATGATTTCCAAAAGATTCTATTTAGTGATTGGGAAGTGGAGGTTAATCTGGGATCCTTTTTAGGCAACAGTGGGACCCGGGTATATGGATATGTTTGTGGGGTGACTGCATGACTCCATATGAGCGTATTGTAAATGCCACAGAAGTACCAATAGAAGAGAATATTCTAGCACTGATGATGTTACCTAGCTGGGTAATAAAACATCTGCAAGAACAGAAGCTCAGAGAGCATCAAGGACCCCACTGTCCCAGAAGTGGACAGAAATGGAAAGTTATTCAGAGGTTAAAATATTTCGAATGGTCCATTTTAGAGTTAGAAACTTTTGCACCTCACCCTAAAACAGGCCTCCATTTTACTGATATTGTTTTATACTGAAATTAAATGGGACATGATCCCTGCAGCACTATTTTGAGCATTTCTTACTCCAAAGGCAGTCCTATTTGAGTCTAAAAAAAGCTTACTGCCTGGGAATATATTCCAATGCAGTTGGATATGGTTAGGGATATAGAAGAGATGTACTAATATGTTACATTTTCTCCTCTTAACTTTTTCAAAAGTTTTCACGGGGGGCAGGTCGCATCTGTATTTCCTGCAATAATGCCCTTGATCCAGTCAATATAATCAAAGACCGTGATGTAGAGGGCAGGCACACGTGGTTCAGCACATGGATCGCCCCCCACAGATACAATGCCCTGGATTTGTCCATTACAAATGAGGGGTCCCCCAGAGTCACCCTGTTGAGAAAAATCAAACATGAAACATTACTACTCTATCTATGAATAGAAAGTAGAGCAAACAATTCCCTTCCATAATCCATTCACATATAGCCCCCAATGTTTTACTTCGATGTTCCCCAATCCAGGATCCTTTTAGAAGAATTTAACTCCTTGAGTTTCCCCCACCAGAATCACCAGTATTGGGAAGTCTGGAAATGTAGACACCTACAAGGCACTTAAGTTAGAAAAAGCAGTAACTTTGTATATTTCTACAAGATGCCTTCAAGGGTAGATCTCTTATCATAGCTTTGAAAATTGGCATCATTTCTTTAGGAGTCTGTCTTAAAATGGATCATCTTACCTGACATGTATCTTTGCCTCCTTCCAGGATACCTGCACACAATGTTTTGCTTTTCTCCAGCAACCCTGAGTAAAATGCTCGACACACCGCATGATCGAGTATGTTAATGTTAGCACAATGAGGGACATCGGGATAAATCTCTGAAAAAAATAAAAAATAGAGAAAATTCTACCTTTCACAATTTACCACCTAGATGCATAGAGCTATAATTTCCATTGTCTCCAACCAGTGGAGCTGATCTCATTGCCTGGAATAGGAAGTGTTGTCTTTCAAAGCCATTCAAAGGGACTCCTGAGAAAAATAGATTTACTTAAATGTTTGCACAGGATCTTTTTTGTCAAGATATTAATACGTCTTAAATCAGCTGGTGGGCATCTGAAGGCTTCGCAAATTTCTCCGGCACTTTATGCAAAGATTGCCTTGTTGAAAAGTGGGGCTTTTGCTAATTCAAAAGTCACAGAACTGATCTCGCATCCCCTGGAGATGACCTAGAACGGGGGTTATCAAACTTGGCAACTTTAAGACTTGGGAACTTCCACTCCCAAAATTCCTCAGCCAGCATACTGAAACTTTCATATCTGAAGATGAAGCAGACCCATAAGTTTGTATTGTGTACAAGAACAAAAAATCAGGAATCTTGTCCAAAAGCTCCCTTGGGGAGGACAGATGAGATGGAAATAAGTCTAAGGAAACAAAGGAAAAATGTCATCTGAATCAGACAAAGTTGAGCTTGAGAATATGGAATAAACCCAAATCCCAGCTAATCTACAAATCAAGAACTTTTCAGGATAAAAAGGGGTCCTAAAGCTCACCCACTCCTTGAGTCATCTTTGGATCCACAACTTAGGAGTTTCTGTCCCTGGCAGCCTAATTGAGAAGATTGTGTCTAAACATGGATTGGTGTATGTGTGCGTATGAAAAAGAGCAAATTTACATCGCAAGCCGTAAAGTCTGGGTCTCCATGTATTCCTAAAAAACTGTGGTGCCTCAGTGGTTAGTTGAAAATTATTTGTGTGAATCCTTAATTATTTCCCAGCTCTTGACCAAGGCTGTGTGACTTGTCTGCTCTAGCTACACCTATTTGGTAGTAACCTAGGTAGAAAACAAGGTGGGCTTACAACATCAACCTACCTTGACAGACTTGAATGTGTGGATGACCATAAGTCAAAGCTTAGAGTGCATGTAACACTTCCATGGCCTTACTAGCAATAGCAATAGCATTTAGACCTATATACTGCACTCTCTGGGTGATTTACAATATCTGCATATTGCCCCCAACAATCTGAGTCCTCCTTTTATCAACCTCAAAAGGATGGAAGGCTGAGTCAACCTTGACCCTGTCAGGATCGAATTCCAGGCTGGGAGCAGAGATAGCCAGCAATACTGCATTCTAACCACTGCACCACCAGGACTTAAAAGGAAGAAGTCCTCTGCAACCATCCACAGAGATTTTATATCCATCCAAGGATAGACCATGTTTTTGAGTTCATAGTTGGTATTTTGAGAGCAAGTGGTAAATATACTCTGAAAACATCCTCCACGGGAGACTTCTCCATTTCCAAAATGGCCACGGCCATTCACAAAACACCCCATTATTAAAGGTAATGAAGCCAGGCAAGACTGCCATGCTAATGGGACTTTTCCGATTCCCAACAGCACTGCTAGAAATAAACCTGATCCTATAAGGATTTTTTTTTAGTTATACAGCTTGCCAGTTCCTTCCTTATTTCTTTT